CCCCCCCCCCCCCCCCCCCCCGTTAAAAAAAGTCAAAATGAATCACGTTCATCGAGGGTATGTATCGAGCTTCAAGTCATCAGAATTCCTGTTCCCCGAATCGACGCTGCCCATAAGACACCAGGACTAACCCCCGAGCTTCACCAGTGACGTGACAGCCATCAACGCTCTTCCAGCTCCCTTTCCATCCATATATCGTAGATCCGAAGACCTACACTATGAACTCACTAATCTGACACATCATCCCCTTCTCATACACGACTCCATCTACTGGCCCCAACCACACTCCTTCTTGCAAAGTTTCCCATCGACATGGACGCCCTGGCAGATGATCTCGCACTGAGATGTATGTTTGCAGCTCTGTTATTTACATTAGCACTTCCATCCTTTTCTCCCCCAAACACACCACTTCAAACCATCCACCTTCCACCCCTCTCTACTATCCACCATCCACCATATGAACAGAAAATACTCACATTAGCGCAATCAACATAAGCCTCACTGCAGCGCTTGCAGAACGTAGTAGCCATAGTATGAACGTCCTGCTCTCCTTCGTCAGCCCCGGCCCGGGGGTAGAGCAGAGAGAGGGGGTGTGGGAAGGAGGCTGTGGGGGGACTTGCGTTGTCGGATGAGAAAGCGGCGTTGACAACAGAGGCGATACCGACGGGGGCGTCGTCGCGAGGGATGACGCTGCCGAGGACAGTGGTGACGAGAACCGCGAGAGCGAGGATGAGGGTTGGGGACTTCATGTTGAGTGGGGGGTTGGGGTTGGTTTGTGGGGGTTAAATAGAGGTAGTGTTGTGTAAGTCGCTAACTCTTAGATTTGAGGAAACTAAGTAGTGGTGTAGAGGGGTTGTTGGGCGTGGAGTTAGACAAGACTTCGAAGGAAGGAGCCGAGTACGTTGGATAAGGTCTGGGCGCGGTAGCGATAATCTCCTCCGGACCCCGTTTGCAAGGCGAGTGCAGGAGTGGCAGCCTGAATATTGCGTATCCGACGTACGTAGTGAGTAAGGGTATCATATTTGCGCAAACACGTGGTGGCGTCAAGAAGGACGTGACGACGACTGACCCGATTGAGAAGGAGCAAACAACACGAACACCACGTAACCGATATCAACCAGGATCGAGAGCGAATGCTGAAAGATCACACTCACCTAAAGAGGCGACTTCACCTCGAAGGAAGACGTCCATTTCGTCCCCACTAGTAGTGTGACAGGGAAAGAACCAGTGGTAAGGAAGCCACGACAAAGCCACATGAGACAACACGAGAAATATCCAGCCTTAAGAGTTAACAGAGAAGGCATGTTGAAGCCCCGTCTCATAACGATCTAACGAATTACAATACGTAAACAAGAAGATTTTACAATAGACCAGCGTGCCCTACCAGCGATCGCCCCAACGCCGCCCCATGCCATGCTATGCGAAAAACAACTCGACTTACAACAAAATTCCAAACAAAGCTGACTACCTCGTCGCCGGAGCCCTCGGCGTCGGACTCCTCTCCTTCACATCCAGCGCCCTCAAACGCTCAACATTCGTATCCACGCCCGTATCCCCCCCACCCTCAATCGAAGGAACAACGTCTTGAACCATCGTTCTATCACCTTCGTCGTCATCATACTCCTCCTCTTCTCCATCATCCCCATACCTCCTCTCAACATACCCCTCGCCGTCCAAATAATCACCCCCCTCCACACTTTCGACAATCGAATCTTCCAAGCCCGTTTCATCGACATCCAAGCTCTCCCTCGACATATAACTCGCCTCAAGATCCTCGCCAATCTCCGATCCCTCGTCTTCACTCCTTATACTAGCCGCCTCCGTCCTCTCATCATCATCGTCGTCGTCTTCGTCTTCACTGTCCGTAAAGTCTTGGATGTCTAATGGTTGATCGCGCCAATAATTGAAATCGGTATACGCCTCCCCACCCGCCGGAACAAGCAGCCCCACCGGCGGGAAAAAGTGATCAACAATCTCGCGCATGCTTGCGTAACCCGTTTTATAGCTGTTAAGCGACAGGACGTCAAGGCTGACTTCGGCGTTGGAGTTGATGGTGAAGATGCGGGTGGAAGGGATGTTGACACTGCGGTAGGAAAGCGCGTCTGTGAAGCGGTTACCGAAACCGGCGTAAAAGGGTGTTTGGTGCGCGGGCTTATCGAAGAGCTGCATGATATCTCTCAAACAAGCCATTTTGAAGACTTCGGGCTTGCGGAGGTAGATTTCGCGACGGAGGGCTGCGATGGTGCGGTCTGGGCTCATTATTACGGGGCCTTTGGGGAGGCGGTAGTTGTCTTGGACGACGCCGTTGAGGTACGCGCGTGTGGTGTCTGCTTGGCCGACGGAGCGACTTGTCAAGTAGAAGATGTTGTAGCCGTTGTTGACAATGTCGGTGTAGAGTTTGGCTACTCCTTGGTGTGTCCAGTCGCGGCCGATCATGTTGAGCACGTGGCCGAGGGCGTCGGACTTGGTGATTGTGCCGTCGATGTCGGAGATGACGATGGGCACGTCGTGCTTCCAGTAGAACATGTAGGCTTCGCATTTTGAGCGGTTTACGGTGAAGCTCATGGTGTTTGCGCCGGGTTTTAGGTTGAGCGCTCGGAGTTGCTCGCTCGTGAGGCGTAGTGTCTTTGCGTATGTCTTGTGCTCGGATTTCCTGGCTTCGGGCGAGTGTGGTGCGGAGGAACCCAGCGCACTGTCTGAGTCTCTGCGTAGAGGGAATTGAGCAGTGTCGTCGCTACGTCCACTGTCGCTCTGGTAGCCGGGGTCTGACAGCGCATCGGTCGATTGAAGAGCGGATTCGTTCAGTACATTCATTGTCGTCTTTGCCATAGCCGCTGCTTTGGCCTCCTCACTGCTGTAGATCCAGAGGTTGCCGTTCTCGTCAGCGCCTATGAGGGCGCCAATGTCGTAGTCTCCTGCAAGCTCATCCGACAGAATGCGCCTGGCTATGACCTCGGCGCGCAACGCATCCTCTTCGCTGCTCTTGTACCCCGTCATGTCTAGCTCGAGGTCGCCAGTCTCGGTGACTTTGTTCGGGATGTTCGAGGTAAAGAGCTTCTTGGACAGCTTGATCGCGCGGGCAAGAGCTTCGGCGGAGGACACAGGCGGCGGACTCGCTGAGCGCGTCGACCTGTTCCAGGCAGTCGCATCCTCCTTGCTGATCTGCAGCGGCCCTCTCTCGGGGCCCTTGTCCTGTGATTCCTCGCCGTCGAATGTCTTGGCAAAGCCGTCCTTTACAGAAGGCACCGTCTCATCCGTGCTTGCCCTCTGCATGTGGAAGCCTGACCAGTCCCCCGACTTGGGCCGTCCAAAGTCGGCCCCGGCATAGTCCGAGGCAGGCACCGACATGGACATGCGCCCTCGTCTCCTTGTAGCGCTACCGTCCAAGTCGAAAGGCTCGGGCTCGTCGAAGGCGCGCTCCGAGGGCAGCTCGACGGGCTTCTGCTCGGGACTGGCGGCGGGCGATGCGATGGGCGACGTCTGCATCTCGGCGGGAATGGAGCGCGTCGTCTCGAAGACGAAGAAGGCCTCGCCGCCCTCGCCCAGCTTCATCGAGTAGTCCTGCAGCTCGCCATTGACGCGGAACTCGACCTTCTTGTCCGAGGGGCGCAGTATCTGGTACTTGCCGAAGCGGACATGGAAGGGCGAGCATGCCAGGCTGCCGTCTTCGTGCTCTACGACGATGGTGTCAATGGCGCCGCTGAGGGTGGCGGGGTTGATCGAGTTCCAGCCCTTGGACACGCTGCCCGTGATGGATCGCACGTAGTTCATGGTTGCTGTCTTGGGCTCAGCGCCTCTTGCGCAGATGATCTCGTTTGTATGGTTCGTAGCGAGCGTCGGGGATGTACGTCAGAAGTGTTTTACAGCGGGCGGGCGGGTGGAAATGTGTCAGAGCGTGTTTGCATTCTTTCTTCACATGTCAGAGGGCTGCTTTCACCGAGGGAGGAGCGAGCGGTCGAGCGTTGAGGGTCAAAGAAGGGATGTCAGGAGTGGAAGTACTTTTGCGCTGACGTGCCTAGGCAGTCGTGAGCTATGCGGTCACCGAGCTCGCGGGCGCATCACGGGCCCGAGACGTCAGGCCGAGATCAAGTGACACCAGTGATGCGCTGAGCCGGAGTGCGGCAAGAATTTCCAGAATGGTACATCCAGAATGGTATATGTTGCGAGGGATTTGGTGCATACTGCATGGGCTAAGGTGCAGAATCGAGATGCTATCTTCACATGCTGCAACGGAGCACGCACATTGGAGAACCATTCGTGGTGATTATATGTTGGGCCAGCCACTGGCTCAACCACCGCGTGCGATAGATACCTAGGTAGCATGTGGGCTATTCCAAGACTTTGCTACCGATATCTCATAGTCAATGGAAGGTATCGCGATGATGTCCTCAACACACGCCTAACTCGACTTTTCGACAGCCACCCTGCCCCGCTAGCTGCTACTAGTAACTCTCGAAGATGAATGCGGAGGAGGTGCAGGTGTGGAGCAGCCAAGACGTCGAAATGGCCTGTAGCTTCGGCCATTTGCGGCGGTTGTGGCTGCACATGACGCCGCCAGGAACCGCGCAAACTTCACCCACCACGACAACCAGGTGGGAGACGCCTGACAGCTGTCGCCATGTTCTCGGAACCCTCACAGTCGCTGTACTGGCCGCCCGATGTCGCCCGCTACGACATGGAGGCCCTGCTGTTCTCGTCGTCGGGCTGGCTGCGCACGGCGTGCATCGTCTCGGCCCTCTTCTGGTAGGAATTGTATACAAGAAGAAATACACGCGCACTTACTCACCGCGCATGCAGGGTCGCCTTCCGCGCCTACCAGGTCCTCACGCAGCCCGTCGAGAAGCTGGTGCAGGTGCTCGGCCTCGAAGTCCCCGTCGCGCCCCTCGTCTCGCTCGCTGGCATCAAGGCCGATGGCGTGCTGCTGCACTGGAAGCCGCCCGACCAGCGCGCCTCGGTCCTCAAGTACGTGATCCGCATCAACGGCATCGACATTGGCGACATCTCCCCGCAGGAGTCGTCCATCACCATCGAGAACCTGCAGCCCGACCGCCACTACACCATCCGCATCGTCACCCTCAACTCGTCCAGCTTCCAAGCCCCGAGCGTGCCTATCCGCCTGCGCACCCTGCCCGCGGACTCCGATGACTTCTACGGTCCGTCCCCACCCAAAGACGCGCCTCTCGTCAGCGACGACAATGACTACACCCCCACGCCCGTCATCCGCCCCAACAAGACCCTCGCCGATGTCGTCACCTCCGTCGCTGCCCCGCCCATGACCCGCGAACACAGCAACAGCACCTCCCGCATGCGCCGCCCAGACATCGGACGGAAGATCTCGCCAGCATCGCAGATGCAGGACCAAGGGAGGGCAGCGCAAGAAGCAGAAGGCCCAGACTCGATCCGGCAGTTGACAGAGAAGCTGGACGGCCTCAGACGCGAGTTGGACGACATGGAGCGCCAGATCCAGGACGAGGATCAGGAGTTTGTCACGCAGAAGGCCATCTTGGTGGACAAGCGCGACGAGAAGAAGGCGGCATTGAAAGAAAAGGAAGACGCCAGTCGCGACCTGCGGAAAGAGGTGGCTAGTCTTGAGCGTCAGAATGCCGCGGCCCAGACAAGGCGCGCTCAGCAGGAAAGGGTGCTGCGTCAAAAGGAAGCCGAGCGCAAGAAGCTGAAGGACGACGTTGCCAAGTGGACCAGGGAGGCGGGCGAACTCCGCGACACTGCTGAGAAGATCAAGAAGGAGCAGACCGAGTACCAGGCAGCCTCCGAGAAGCGCGTCCAGGACCTCAAAGACAAGTACGCCGACGAGACGCAGGCGAACAAGGTCTTGGAAGACGCCATCCGCGAGAAGGGCATCCACATCAAGGCTCTGGAAGAGGAGAGACAGAAGCTGGAGGAAGGCCAAGAAGGCGCTGAAGCGACAGACGGCCCCGACAACGCAGAGAAGGAAGAGGACAACCGCTGGAAGATGACTCTGGGTCTTTTGCAGCAGCAATATGCTCAAGCTTGGGCGCTATACGCCGAGGCGGAGCGAGCCCATCAGGATGCCACGGGCAGATTGACCTACATGCAGCAGCGCCGCCTGAGCCAGCCGCAACTCTTCTCAGGACCGCCAGTCCCAGAAATGGGTCCCGTCAGGAGGAACAGCCAGCGTGCGCGACCGCTAAGCATGCGCGAAGGGCTTCTGGCTCAAGCAACTGGTGGCTTCGTGCATACTTCATCAGCCCCGTTCAACAGCATCCCCACGACTTCATCACCTTCGTTCGCTACCGCCACGCCTTATTTCAACCCAGTCAACGGCATGGCATTGCCTCCTCCTCGGAATTACAGCACATCCTTCTCGCAGGCCGACTTCGAGAGCTTGACCGGCGGTGCGCCAATGAGTCCAACAGCCGGTGCATTGCTTCCAGCGGGATTATTTGGGGATGATTTAGGCTTGACGGAAGACGAAGACGACGACCCAGGTCCACCCCAAGCACCGTCGCTGGATCCTTCACCCAACATGAGGAACGTCCTACCTGGTCTTGGAGCCCCTGGAACCATGAACCACACGCAAAACTCGAGCTCACCAGCTTCTCCACAGAGCGGCTCGCCCAGTGCTCTAGCAAGTCCTCGGGACAGTGCTGGTGAACTCAACTTTTATCCCAGCCATGACAACAACATGGACAACGACAGGCGCTCCATTCACTCAACATCCAGCTCCTTCCAGATCAATCCCCAGGCCAGTCGTTTTGGTGGACTCTTTGGACTGAACCGAGCACGGGGCAAGACGTTCTCCGATGAGGGTCCAGCGCTGGGCTCCCTGAAACCGTCACAAAGTCAGTCACTACCCCGCCAGGACCATGGCATTGACGGTCTGGGTAACACTCGTCGCCGCGGTAGCCATTCCGAAGGCGCATGGTACGACACATTCATACGCACCAAGACTCAGCCGATTGAGTCGCTTAGTAGTCCAAAGCATGTGGCTACCCGCAAACGACCGTTCAACATGTTCAGCAGCGCAAAGGGAGGTGAAGACCCATGGCTACGTAATATCCTAGGCATGCAGAGGCCGGAGTCTCCGCGTCAGGGCTCTACAAATTCCGGAGAAGGCATGGCTCTGCCACGTCCATCGACCGAGAGCCAGACGCGCTTCGGCTGGAATGTGGATGCCTTCGGTGCTCGGGCTAGTCCTCTTGGAGTCGACTGGAGCGTCAACAACACCAACACCACTTCATGGTCACGGCTAGGGTCTCGTCGACCCTCGATGCAACACACGTCGAGCGCAAACCTAATCAACGACGACATCCACGATGATGTTCTGGACTTTCCTTCAAACACACGTTCGCCCACTCAAGCGCCAATTGGCACTCGCCCGCAGTCATCTGCTTCCCACATGCCAGCGCAGCCGTCAACCTCCTCACTCCCACCCATCCCACCCACCCCACCAAAGCAGCTCAACCCCGCAGCAGCAAGCTTCACCATGTTCCAACTCGGCAAGAAGAACGAAGAAGAAAAAGCGAAGCGCGCCGCCGAGAAAGAAGCCCGCCGAGCCGAAAAGGCAGAGAAGAAGGAAGAAAAGGAAAAGAAGGTCAAGGCCGACAAGGCGGAAAAAGCAGCGCGCAAAGACAAGCACGCCACGCCTTCGGAAGCCGGCGACGCCAGAGACACAACTTCTCCTCATGATTCCCGCATGTCGCGAGACACGCCTTCTATTATCTCTACGGCTGACGCCTCAGAAGCTTCCCCCCGCGAATCTCTCGAACGAAGTATATCCCACACGGCCTCCGACGCGGCCGGTTCCATCGGCAAGGAATCCTTCATGCAGAAACTCACTCGCAAGGGTAGCACCAACCAATTCCTCACTTTCGGCAAGAAGAACGCGCTCTTTTCCAAGTCCGCCAAATCCGACGTACCCAGTACACCTGATGAGCATGACGAGGAGGGTTCAACGAGCGGGTTCTTCGGCCTGGGGAAGAGCACCGAGAGTGTGGGCAATAGTCCTCAGATTGGCACGCCGAAGAGTGGGACGGCTGGCGGTGTTTGGGGCAGTATTACCAAGAAGATTGGGAGGAAGGAGAAGGATAAGACGCCGAGTTTGCATGAGAGTGTTGCTAGTGAGGCGACGGGGGATGAGGATGATGTGGTTGGATTAGGGGTTGTGTAGTATTGTATTGAGCGTGTTGTAGCAATTAGCAAAACGTATCGTTGATTCATCATTTCCATCCAACATCATGTGTTCGCGTGCCGTGGTAGTTTTGTCTCACCCAACCTCCAGGGCTCACTTGCGTTCGCTAGTGACGTTTCAGGGTGGGTGGGGGAGGCGGCGGGGAGGCGGAGGGGCGGAGGAGGGGTGGTGGTGGATGTCTCCATTAGCAGATTCTGGTTGAGACATACGTGAGTTCGCGGATATCTTAGAATGAACAGGCAGGTAGTAAAGCTAAGTGATCGACTTGTACATAGTGTAGTCTGGTAGGGTAGGTAGGTGTATGAGTGCATGGTTGAATTCAGGCACTGCATCCAGTGACATGGTATGTTGACTTTGTCTGCCGTACGGCAAGCGAATATCTATGTATAAGTTCATTACTTGTGTCTTCGTAACAACAACTAATCCTCCTTCACTTGAGATTCGCTAGTGCGACTTTTCCCCACCTGGGCAGATTCCACTTGAGCCGCATGCGGGCGCCAAGCCTTCGCGTCCATCGCTGTCGCAACTTCAACGCGCGACCTTCACTCACCTACCGACATCATCACGCGCACCCACCACACCACCCACCATGGCGTCACCC